TTTGTAAAACTAATTTGAGTGTTGACAGGGATCAATTTGCTTTATCGTCGGTCAAACATCGTAAACCGTAAAGTATCTTACAAATTGGGACGGATGGAGTATTATTTAGACGATGTCACAAATGGGCATCCCTAGCTATAGGGTAAATAAGGTTATATCTAGAAGGATATTATTACCAGGGACGGCTAGAGCAAATATGAGACCCTAGACGGTCATGTAGTCATTTTATTTAAACATGTTATATTCAACATAATCATATAGAAGTAAATATACTTCGTAAATAGAAGTAAATCACATATGAGATGCATCATATACAACGGAGTATTAACGTAATGAGTATATATACTTTGTAAGAATAAGGTCAAAACTGATTAAAAAAATGCATTAATATTTTAATAGCCTATATATATTATTCTTTTAACTGTTTCAAGAGTAACTAACATTTTTTCAATCCATAAATAGCAGATAAGCTATTTTCAGACATGAATGATAGGAGATGATTTTTTATCAACTTCACATATGACATTTCTACGGTTCTACATCAATCTCAACAATATTTGAGGGATACATTTTTGTGCTTACAGTACCGACTTGAGCCAGCATGCGATTTTATGATAAAATCCGCTCGTAAGTTTTTCTTTTTCTTTTTACATTTTGAATCATGCTTCCGTTTTTTCGTCATCACAAATTCACAATTTTACAATTTTTTTGAAAAAAATACCTAGCACTCCGGTACTAAATAAGTTAATGGTTCATAAATACATATTTAATTCTCTAAATTTAATTACATATAAGAAATTATAAATTTTTAATATATATTTCAACCAATCAAAATAAAAAAGATATTTATGACGTACTATAATATACCTTGAGTCACTAGCTAGGTCCCGTCTAACATAAAAAAGACTAAAGAACTAAAAGTAATTCATAAAATAATAAAATAAGTAATGAGAAAAATGAAAATCTCTTAAATCAACTAAATCAATTACTACGTAGTAAAGGTATTCAACAATTCCATACGGAATATAACTAAAGCTTTAGTGCCGCTATCTTAAATGGGGGATTGCCGAAGGTGCGAAACTGGGAAATCGGACTTTCGCTTCGAGGGTGAGGCTCACCGGTCACCGCCTCAAGTCTTAAAGAATTAATGGTAAGTCGTCTGGCCGTCTCTCACTCTCTCAGCTGATTCTTGGAGCTTCCGCCTTCGACCCTTCGTCTTTGTTTGATTCCGTTTCAGATTTTCTAGTTTCTTACATTAGGAATTCATAGTTTATTACAATAAAAATTGAATATACTTATATAATTCTAATAGACTTATTATAAAAAATGGAGGCCCCTGAAAAAATGGAGGCCTTAGACAACCGTCTAGGTCACCTGCCCCTATGGCCGGCTCTGGATATTATGCAAATACCATAACCTCCTCACGTTCTTTTAGAACAAATGTTGTATACTTCTTGACATTCTCAACAAAATTCCAATGACACAACCTAATAATCTAATATTGTTCTAAAAAAAATATATTGGGCATTTTCCTTCGCGCATCGCGCGTAACATAACTAGTGTCTAGTATAAGGAGTAAATGGGTTTTGTATTTGAAGTCCTAAGCCAGGGAGTAAAGGTGGGGAGTAAATGTGCTAGAACGTATAGAAATTGAACTCATGTAACGGATGGTCTCATGAAATCAAATGCATTAAATCTTGACAGTTGAATGGCAAAAATAAAAATGATCCACATCAAGAATTCCATCAATAGCATTAAGGATAACTATTTGAATTTGAATTCAATTTCATAACACAATCAGCTATTGCATTGTTCCCACAATTAGAGAGTCTCTAAAATTACGACCTTTAATTCTATCACTTATAATCTGTCCGATCAGGCTCACATATAAGTGAAAAGATTAAAATGTCACATCATCTTATATGATACTTGAACAACGTTCCTCATCACATAATGATTATAAATAATCTTATGAGACTGTTTATCCTCTAATACAGAACAAATAAATTCATTGTTTTAATACATCACTTTATATTCTTTACAACTATGGATTCTAATTTAAATCCAAATATGTAAATTATTCTTTGATGTATTATCAGCCTCCTCTATATATTTAATACAATTATATCTTAGGACACAATAATGTGATCCTAAAAATAATATTTATATTATCATATTTCCAAAGATTAATCAATTAGTCGATTAATATCAGAAGTGTAGGCGTAGAACTCACTTTCCAAAGATTAATCGATTAGGAGGGAACACATTGCTTATAAGTCACCGGTCAAACTCATACTTGACCGGTGTGGATCGTTACAGAAAGGTAGATTATAACATTTTTGTTGATACATATGTCTTCAATTAATCTTTCACTAAGGTAACAATACTTAGCTTTGTCATATACGCAAGTAATAGCAGTGGCGTATCCACTATGGGGGCAGCGGGGGCAGCTGCCCCCACTCAACTCCAACCCAACCCCTATATATATGTCCAATTTTTTACAAGAAAATGCTCAAAAATAAGAGTTAAATGTAGAAAAAAATTCTATAATAGGATTAAAAGTGTTTTCTTTAATATTAAAAGAATGAAAGGATAAAAAATTCACTAAATTGTGTTATGTTTAACTTAAATTTAGGTAATTTTATTACATTTTATCTGCAATTACATCTTTACACACCCGTAATATAAATTAATCTTCTTTTTATTCATACTTGTACATAGATATTATAAACTAAATTTAATCAAACAATATTAATAATGTGATTTGTTATTTGTGAAATATGAGACTAAATGTAGTCAAGTTTGCCCCCACTCGTCAAATTTCCTGGATACGCCACTGAGTAATAGGACCGAAAAATAAGTCCCGCGTCGAGGCTGAGACCGAACCGGTGAAAAATAAGTCCTATCCCGTCGGGCCTCAAAACGGGACTGCCTGGTCTCGTCTCATTCCCATTTTTTTTAGCATTTGAACTAGTAAAAAGCATTTAAAAGGTGAGGTACATTTAAAAGGTTGAAAATGTGAGGGAGGCATGAGGCAACAGAAGGTTTAAAAATCTAGAGTATAAAACAACTAAAAAATGGGTTCAGCAGGAACTTCAACTGCCTCCGTACTGGAAATACAGGTGCTAGTTCTGGGTCCCATATTTTTTTTCTCCATGGACTTGCCGCCTTGCCGGTTACAGCCTGAAACCAGACCATGTCCACCCGTATTTTAAGTTATATTAAGAGCCCCTTTGGTAGCACGAAAATCGGCTGTTTTGGCTGTTTCTGCTGAAATTTATGAAGTTATGGCTGAAGTGGCTGCATTAGCTGATTCTGCTGATTTGAGAAAAAAATATTTTTAAAATATATTTTATTAATAAAATAAAGAAAAAATTATATGTAAAAATAGCTAAAATGGTCATCTACAGTAACTTCAGCCAATACAGCCAGAAAAATAACTTCAACCTTACTTTTTCTGCTTATTACACAATTCAGCGCGCGAAAGCAAAAGTTACGTGTTTGGTGAAAAAGCTGGCTGATAAGCCTGATAAGCCGAAAAACAGTGGTTCAAAACGGCCTTTAAACCGACTAAAATAAAGAGTGCCAAATACAATGTGGCTTCTTATATCAAATTACTACTTCTCCATTCCTGAAAATTCTTCTCACTTTTCTTTTTGGGATGTTCAAGAAAATTCTATTCATTTCCTTTTTTGGAAAATTTTGTTTGGCGACCATTCATTTAATTTTTTCTTACTCAACCACAACCATACATGTCCACTTTATTCTCACTTTCTTAAACTCTGCTCCAAACTAATATGGGAAGTTTTTTTCGGGACGGACTATATTAATAACTTTTAGAGGCTATTTGGGAACCTCTAGTTCTAGGCTTTTAGCTTATGAGTCTTATTTGTCAATTTCTTTTATCAAATAAGTATGTTTTGATTTCATGTGATAAATTGTGTAATAATCAAATAGTGACCATAAAGTTATACGGAGTACTATACTAAAAGTAACTTTAGTCACATTTATATCTGCATATTTTATTTCAGTAATATTTTAGGAAATCCTCATTAAACCTTGCACTCTTATTTTGAATCAATGTGTCACCCTATAAGATATTCCCTTCGTCCCATAAAATCCTTCCCAGTTTGACTTGGACAAGAGTTTAAGAAGTGAGAATACAATGAAAATGTGTTATTATAGGTTAGTAACAAAAAGGTAAATGAATGTTAGCAATACAAATCTTTTTAAGAAAAGAAATGTGAAGACTTTTTTAGGATGTCCTAAAAAGGTAAGTGAGAAGAGTTTTAAGGGAGGAATAAAAAATTGTGATAGAATGAAGTGTCAGTTACTCACTTGTAATTCTCAATTCAAATAAAATGTGATTTGATGTGTGAAACTACTTTGTGATATACAATATATAGATTATGCGATTAGCCCCTTGCCCCCTTGTGATTTAAAAAATGTGTTAGGGAGTGTTTGCAATAGCTTAAAAAAAGCACTTCTCAGCTTTTGGCTTAAAAAAACACTTATTTACCAAACACTTCCAATTTTTTCTTTTTCTCGGCTTGCGTGTGAAAAGTGCTTTTCCCTTTTCTCTTACACAAAAAGCACTTATTTTACCAAACACTATCAACTTTTACTTTTCAAAATCACTTTTTTCTCAAACACTATCAACTTTTACTACTAATCACTTTTTCATTACATCTCCAAAAGTGCTTTTTTTAAAGCAGAAGCAGTTGCAAACACTCCCTTAGACCCTCGTGTTATGACTATAGTTCTAAAAATCGGCCTAGACGCCACCTAGTCGCTAGGTGGTGGCCAAGCACCGCAATTTCATGATAATCGGTGGGAGAATGGGTTGGCCACCTAGGCAGGCGACTGGGCCACTGGGAGGGCTAGACGGTGGCTAGGCAATCAGGACTAATTTTTTTTCCATTTTGTCTTAAAATACTGTTTTATGAGTAAGCATTTTATTCCTATAAAATACTTCACCATCGTATTCTTATACGAAGTACCAATTTTTAATTTGGTTTGATTCATTTAGGTTGAACCAAATTATTTTGTGCAGCCTTAACTTCAATTATGACAAGTGAGATGTAAATAAAGAAGAACACGGAAATTTTGATATTATTGAGTCAGTGAAGGTCAAAGCATGACACCACCATGCACATCATCTCATCGAAATAATGTTGGAAGCTTCAATTATTATGAGTCAGTTATGGCTACTTAGCTTTCCCTTTTCCTTTGCCTTGATTTTTCTTTGCATCAAGCTTCGCTTGGATACGAGCGGCAGCAGCTGCCTTGGCTTCCTCTCTCTTCTTCTTCTCCTCCTCTTTGTTGGCGGCCGATGCCTCCCTTTGTTTTTTTAGCTCCCTGTACGTGCGCATTGGTACATATCATAACTTGTGCTGAATAAAATGTTCCGTACTTTTAAAGTGATATGAGTATCAGTTTCGATACGTTAACTGTAAGGCGTTCTGTCTTATCTCAAATTACAGATGCGTTATAAATATAAACATATGTATCTACAATTGCTAAAAATATACTACGTATAATAAACATATGTACAAAAAACCTTTTTATTATTCTTTCAATCTCATTTCCCTACTGTTTCTGAGTTCCAAAAAAACTTCATTCCATAAACGAGTACTGCTATGTCCCCAGCAGCATTTAAACAGTTAAGTAGAAAAGGTTCACAATCTCACATCATACCATTAGAGGTTGCTAGGAAAGTGTGAAAGGGAATGCTTTTCAAGTTTCCCTAAGATGGGTTCTTTTGCTTCGGATGGATGATACTCATTTTTCCTTTTGTTTTAAAGTCTTTTAGCTTAATGAATACAGAGTAGTAAAGAATGTCCTACCTTCGTCCCTTAAAATGCTTACTTGTTTGATTTTCATGGATTTTAAGAAAATCATTTTTTTCTTTGCATTTCTAGAAATGGGTAAATATTACTCCCTCCATCCCAAAACAAAAGTGGCACATTTTCCCTTTTGTGCCGTTCCACAATAAAGGTTACATTTTCTTTTTTGGTCAAATGATCCTACATACAATTCATACTTTTTCCTTCCTTTTGCTTAAATCAACAACTTTGTCATTACAATTTACTTGCTTTTCTGTTGCTACAGTATGGGGGGAGTTAGATTTTTTATCCACTCTCTTAACCTATGTGCCCAAAAATTTGTAACACTTATTTTGCGACGAAGATGGTATTGTACAGTGGGAATATTAAATGAGAATGAGAGTGGTAGAGTAAATGGATAACATTTTTTTAACGAATGATAAAAGAGAACTTTATTTAGGGATATCCCGAAAAAAATACTATGTAAAAATTAAATAGGGATGGAAGTACTTGATAGTATTTTACGTAGTATTTACTAAAAATGAATCGTTCCTCTTTTCATTTTGCATAGATTTTAAACTCCCTCCCTCTGTTAGCCTTCAAGTTTTTCTAATTTGTATTTTTGTTTTGGGATGGAAATACTCGTTTAAACATGCCGTCCCCCAGTCCCTCTATTTACAAATGTTCTTCCTGCTTGAGTTTTGCATACAGTTAGAGGTGTGGTTAGTAGGTAACCCTCTGAGAAGAGTGCAAAAATGGTAAAAATTGGGAAACAAGATTGTTAGTGATCAAGTTTTGCTTATAATGGAAACGAGAAGAGCCTTTAGTGACAGAGTATGTGATAATATCATCATATATAAACCGAGAAAAAGACAGACTTACTCAAGCCTTGTTTTTTCATCAGAGACACTGCCCAAGCTAGATCCTTTCCTAGGCCGACAAGCCACCAGTTCTACCTCAAATACAAGTGTTGCCCTACAGTATATGTAAAAATATGATTCAGTTTGTGAATATTCTACTTGTGAGCATGAGAGATCTCCCTTAGGCCTCCGTATGTATATAACAAAGTCATATTTCTTTCTTTTAGTCAGTAAATAAATGGTTATAAATTTATAATACAAAACTTCAACAATAGAAACAAGTCTGAAGAAGTTGAAGACTAAGGATGCTAATGGATGGCGCTGAGGGGATGCTAATGAGTAATGAAATACTATGGGTATGGTTACATCTCCCTCTCCCCAAGAGGGAGGGGAATAGAGTATTGCGTACTTTAAGGGAATCAAATCACTGCAGATAACTTTTCCCCAATAACCCAGCATCCACTTTCATTCCATTTCCATTCTTTTCTCTCCCCATAACAGAGCGCCCAAAATAATACACCTTCCATAAAGATAGCCCGATGTTTCTTTTGGGCTTTTGGCATGCTCCAACTAACTAATTCAACAACCATCTCTCAATTTGTGCTAAAACAATAGTTGACTATCATTAAGCGACAGTGCTACACAAGAAGTAATGCTTTGTTTTGTAGAGGTGGGCAAAGACAGCAGAAAGAAGAGAGTATGGACAGCTGACAAAATGGAGAGTTCAAATGGCTTTTGTTTCTAATCTGAAAATGGAAGAGACAATTTACTCTCTTCTATAGAACAAACAAGTCTAAAAAGTACATAGGAGGTATGGGCGAACAGCCCATTAACACTACCCACCATTTAACCTAGTGTTGCTTCAGCTTATTTTTCCATTTAGAGGGAAAATAAGAAAAAATATAGGAAAATTGAAAAAAGAAATTAGTGCTCAGACAATGCCATAAATATACTTCTTTAATTTACCTACTGTTGGAACCAGACTAGTAGACTATAGTCATTACTATGCTACAATTCCTACAAATATTATAAAATGGAAAGAGGGAGAGGGACAGAGAGAGGGGGAGAGAGAGAGAGGGAGAGAGCATATACTCTGGAGGGATATCTGGGGGAGACCCTGCAGTGCCATAAGCATATTCTGGTTTGCAGGTGATCACAGCTACCTCCCCGACCTGATTCATGAAACCAAAGAAACAAAACTAGAGTCAAACAACGAGTATCACACTCCAATAGAGATCAGTGCAAGGCATTATGAAAGTACAGTAAGTTTCATTAGTTCAAAGACCTTCATGGTTCTGAGGGCAATATCCCAAGCCTTGATGACAGATCCCTTGCCCACCTCAAATGTGAACACCGTATTATCCTCACGGGTCGTATCAAAGACTTCGCTAGTCTCCGCAAGACTCCCTTCATAATACACTGTTTTTTACACCAAGGTGAGGGCGGGGTGGGGGCATGTTATTGTGTACGTAAAAGATAACTATGTGGATATTGTTTGCGATGACTTTTGAAACATGCAACTTAATTGCAAAGCTTACCCTCTATCAAATTTAAGAAGCGATTTTTACATTTTTATGGAAATAAAAAATGCACTTCTTAATCGGAATGGCCAGTTTATATCTTTTTATACGGTGGAATACACTTCTGTCAAGATAAAAGCGACAAAATGATCCATTTACAAGTACTGCCTAAATGGAAAAGAACTTCAAGTATAATACCAAATAGGCACTATCGTGGGGAAAATGAAAACTGGTGGTGAATACATTCCAACAAATACCATAATTCCATTATGCTAAATTTGAGCCTACTCACCTCAAAAGGAATTTTCTGATAGAGACCTGGAATTTTGGGCTTAATATTTTAATAAAATGTAATAGTGGGCTGGGCAAAGTAATTATATAGATTGAGGGAAGCCTCTTTTGGAAAAGAATAAATAGAGGGAATAGAAGAGGGAGAAGGGAGGCAGAATTTGGATCTGGAATTAGGACCAGGGAGTGTTGAGACGACTCGAACTGTCTCTACTGTATCTTTCTCTTTTTCGTTTATCAATTCTACGACAATTTTCACCTCTTCGACTCTGGTTCCTATCATTTTCCCTGATACATATATTACTAGACTCAAATCCATTCCGGGTAACCGATGTGAGACTCAAAAAATTCGATGTCTGCGGACGGGACTTAATAGTGTTTCCAGTCCAAAGACCGAACTGATTGCATTAATGCAGTCCAGTCATTCTGGTCCAGGGCTAGAATTTCTCGGTCCAGAGTAATTTACAGGAAATACAATAAATCTTTCAATTGTATGAAATAATTGTATATAGATGAGATATATGAGTTATGATTTTTAAACTAATTGTTGAGACAACGATTAATATTACTAAATTTTGATAATATTATAATTGAAATAACTTATACTCCATTCGATGAGATAGGTATTGATCTTACATTTTTTAGTTTTGTACAATATTCTAGTCCATTCGATCCATTCTTGGTTCGGTTGTGCTTTTTAAATTTCGGTCCAGGACCGAATGTTTTAGGTCCAGTCTTCCATCCAAGATTTTAAAGTTTTTGATCTTTGTTACTGACTCGGTCCACTCTTGGACCAATGAACACCCCTACTCATGGAAAGTAATGAACTTTGGCTATCCAAGAAGAGCTGAAGTAACCTTGTGTTCTTGAATTTCAGCAGGAAGATTATTACAGAATTATGAAATTACTGGTAAAAGTGTGCACTTTTAAACTCTGGCAATATATTTTACTCTTTAATAGTTCGCAGCTAGTCACTTCTGCAGCAGCAAGATTTAGTTATTGTTTTAACCAGAACTCAATCAAAGTTATCTACCTGAAAACGCATAAGATGGACAGCCACTAAAAATGAAAAGGGACAAAAAATATACTTTTAAATCAGATAGAATAGGGGAAAAAGATTCTCTTTGAAGAAGCACTAGCTATATCAACCAGGTAAATATATGTTGACACATTATTGCATAAAGATAGTGGATGTATAAAAGTAATTTGTGATCACAATGGAAGATACTGCAAGTGATTTCAATGCCATCAGCATATATGGATGAAAGCTTTTGAGTAAAAACATACCATCAAGAAGAGGGAGGCTCTCTGATGGAGAAACAGCATCCGATTTTGCTCTTCGGACAATTTTTTTCAGAACCCCTCCATCTCCGGTTAAATCAACTGTGTCACCCATGGCACCTAAACCTTCACTAACCTACATTTGCAAAATTGTGGTTAAAATATCCGATAATAAAAAACTTGCCAGCATATTACCCATCATATAAGAAATGTACTTCCTAAATGTCTATGTCACCTGCACTGTTGGGCTTGTTCAAATGTAAGCTATAACAATCTATATCAGTTTCTAATACTACAAATATCTATATGTCTGCATTTGTGTTTTGGACTACATTTTCAACTCAATGCATTATTGCATTCACGTGCAAGTCTTAGGTGGTGTACGTAATCCTTGCACAAAAGAGGGGAAGGGCACCTTAAGATAAGAAACATATAAGATTCAGAACCAAACAAACAATGGCTCCTTTGAGTCCTTTCACTACAATTTCTCCTTGGATGGACATCTGAATAACCTTTATCAGCCTCCAAGCAGGGGCGGACCGTAGTACAGACCCAGGGGGGCAACCGCCCCCCCCAACAAAAAAAATTCTAGGGTATATATATACGAAAAATAATTTTCAACCCCTCAAAAAAAAAAATTCGCCCCCAAAAAAATATTTTGAACCCCCCAAGACGGATTTCCTGGGTCCGCCCCTGCCTCCAAGTCAATGCAGACAAAGTCAGTAGTGGTTTAGTTTATAGATACTTCATACTTTTCGTAGTCCTATTGTTAGCCATTTCCGTGCTTTCACCAAAGTTGAGATTTATCATCTTAAAAAGGTGAAGTATGCGAAATAACAACAACAATAATACAGCTATAATAGTGATAATATATGGAGTGATTAGTAAATAAATGTACGATCTATCTACTCCACTAAAATGTTAGCTGAGGAGGAAGATATCCTTCAATTTGCCACAAAATGAACAATGAATCCATATTTTATTTGGTGGAACTCGGGATGACAAGGGGTTGAGTGTAATAGGGTATCAGGGATAGCCCGAAACTAATGACGTCCAGTTAAAAATGACGCTAAAAGATAACAAAACAACGCCATAGCAGCAGATCGAGCAACAATCATAAGCTTGTCATACACCAGTATATAGACAAGCTAAGACAGAGGCACTTAATTTCTCTACATATTTATCTTAATAGAAAAAGATACCATTGGAGTTGATAAAAATCGGTTCTTCCAAAGAAACGCTACCCAGGGTTTAAGAATTTAAAGAGCAGAGACAGATATATACCCGGATGTAGGGAGAAGAGTCTTCAATAGAAGGCCGGAGAGAGGTAAGGGCAAAAGCAATTCAGGAAAGTAAGGTATATCTCAATAAACTCCGGTGGCAAGAGCGTAATTCGCCGGCCATAAGCTTCCCTCGGATTTACAATGGGTGTTGTTCACAGCGCTGAGCAGTGAGCACAATCTGGTTCTGACAGGAGAATCGGGCGACCGGGAGGACGAGTTACTTTTTTAAAAACAGAAGCAGAATCAGAATCAGTTTTCAGAAGTTGTACCTCCCAGCTTCTAAAAAAACTGATTCTGAGAGTAAATTAGAGCTCCAGAAGTGCTTCTGGAATTTCACTCAAACACTCCAGCTTCTGCTTCTGCTCCCTGAAGGAGCAGAATCAGTTTTGAGAATCAGATCCAAACACCCCCTTACATACCGGTCAGGACCGAAGAGCATGTTTTGTAGCACGAAAATAGGCTTATTTGGTTGTTGAAATTTATGAAGTTCTGGTTGAAGTGGCTACATTGACTGATTCTGCCGATTTAAGAAAAAATTATTTTTTTGAAAAAATAAAGAAAAAATTATATGTAAAAATATATAAATGGTCATCTAACTTCAGCCAATACAGCCAGAAAAGTAACTCCAACCTTACTTTTTCTGCTTATTACGCGAAAAAGCTGGCTGATAAGTATGATAAACCAAAAAACAGTGTTGCCAAACGGCCTCCTATTTCAAGAACTTTATCTACTACTATCTCCTTCCCATTTTATGTGTTTTCTTTCACTTTGGCATAATTAATAACTAAAGGTATTTACGTAAAAATGTATCAAGTTAGAAGCACAAATACTACATAGAAAGATGTGAAATGCATATACTAACTTTCCACTATACTCCCTCCGTCCCATTTATATTGTCCCGTTTTACCTTTTCGGGAAGTCTCACTTAAATTGTCTCATACCATATTTGGCAAAGTTTGTGTGGCTCTAAATCATTCTTACTTTATTCTTATTTTATCAATTAATATGAACCACACAAACCCACTTTTCTTAATAACTGTGTCACTCTCTTCCGTTCCAATATAAATGGGACGGAGGTAGTACATTACAAAGCATTTAATTTTTTAAATTATTACTCGTACATGTGATATTGTAGTGGGAAATTTCCTAATAATTAGAGAAGTTTTTTTTAACGAAAGTGGTTTATATTAAAATAATAACAAAACGTAAGTAGGATACAAAACGACAAAAAATCTTCTATTTGTCGTCTTCCCTCGAACCAGGCTTAGAATGTATCACCTCCGTAGAAGCAATAAGATTTGTTGATCCTGTAATGGGCTTAACATAGCCAATGACGGGCAAACCAGACTTCTCATCACATGTCCTAAGTTCTAGAGTTCTTTTCCTGAAAAATATAGCACAACCACAACAACATGAAACTCAGAATAAAGACGAAACATGAAAAAAACATAAAACTAAATAAAAGCATTCTCCAAAAAACATAATAAGGCAATAAGTTGAATCCTCACGAGCTCTGGAGGGCCTGGGATCGAAAGCCCGTCCTTTCTTCGTTCTTTGGCACGTCAAGAGCCATTTCTTCTACCACAAAGTCTCTCTGCTCTTGCTCTTTCCATGTACGCCCCATCTTCTGATCTTCGGCCCTCCGCCCGGCTGACTCGCTCCCGTGATAATAGTAGCCACCAACCATCCCTGGTAGTTATCCTTTTTGTGTTTCGGACCTTGCTCCTGATTTGTCCTAGGATGTATATATTGATGCATGCTAATGTTGCTGAGCTCCCCTCTGTAACCAACCACTTATTGCCCAGAGAAGGGTGCCGCTTCCTTCCTCCCGCACACAACCACAGGCTGAATGGTTTGGCTAAAGCCTTATCCCCTTTCTCATAGATTAATGGCAGAATTTCTCTGCATGTCCTATTGTTAGGTCCCCTAGATTTTGATTATACAATGCAATAGTTTGATGATGCCACCCCTTTTTGTATTAGACTATTATCCATGTATTAAATTAGTCTACTACTTATGTTCCGCTTTGTGTAATTGTAATGTGCTCCATATTTAGTGGATAAAGTACTCATGAAAAGCAAAAGAATACTAAAAAGAGAAGTTAAACGTACCATAAACAAAAGAAAGAAAATGATCAAAAGAAAGAAAAGGTACAAAAAGAGTTAACTGGTATTCATTGTTAAGGATTGAGCCAACTGGAAAAACTCCAGAAATCAGCAGTCAGCCAATTTTCTGGGCAGCTAGCTGAAATGCTTGGCTGCCAGCCGAAAGCTGGGTTTTTCAGCTAACTCATCTGAAATCCAATTCTCTCTTCTCTTAGCACAAAACACTTATACAATAAACCAACTTGCAGACAAAAGAACAAATTGTTAAAAAGTAAATTTATAAGAGATTTTTATCACAATATGAATTTGTTATAAATTTATTTTACAAAAGCAAGTGTTCGTTCGTTGTAAGGTAGCATTGAAATATCACTCGGCTTTATACTAGTTTCTACGTAGGAAAATAAAAGATAAATTATCTTTTATCTTGCATTGAAATGTGTAAACAAGTTGAGCTGAAGATATTTGATCTGTGTCACTACGTGACAAGAAGAAACCATGCTGCCGCAGTCAAGTGGAACAAAGCAAGTAGATCAAGCAACGGTTAAGATTCATTTTCTCAACCAACGGTGAAGATGAAGTGATCAAGTCTATAAATACAGAAGGAGTGCGGAGTTACCAAGTGTGGAAAAACATGTGGTAAAACAAGTGGAGAAACAAGAAAGGAGCCAAGTGGTTGGAAGAGAATCATACTTTACACGCTCAAATCCATCCAGCTGATTCCTCTTCTCCACTTAGGCCGCCACCCCACTCGTCTAATGCTCTTAGACTAGTTGGTAGTTTAGAAAATACACACATGTATTCTAGACTAGTGTTAGACATTCTGGAGGGCTTGATGATCAAATCCAGAAGGTGAGAAAGGGCAAGGACATGAGTAGCTCTTGGCGAGTCAATGCCATTAGTGAAAAAACTTGGGAGGACATGAGTAGCTTGGAACAGTGTTTAAGTTCCTTGTGAAAAACCTCACAATCTACGCCTGGGCCAAGGGTAGATTGGGTACTAAATGTAATGGGATACATTTTGTGACACCGCACCCGAATGTCCTCGAAAATTCAATTAAAAAAATTCAAAGTGTATGTATTGAATTTCCGATTTCCAAACAATTGTAAAACAACTTATGTTTTACATAGTGCATGATTGAATATTATACTGTTCAAACTCGTATATTAATGTCGGGTTTTGCAAATGCTTATTTGGGCCTTATTAATGAACATAAGAGCCCAACATTACCTAAATGATGTTACATAACCTTTCAAGACAATTAAGTTGAGGAAGGTCGGGCGGCCCAAACATTATTTTGGGCCCAACCTGCTAAAAATAGCAAGTATTCGAGAATGGCGTCCTAGGCCCACTCGGGGGTGAACCACACAGATAGTAGTCTAATAATATGAATGATAAATGCCAAAAATAAGTGATAGAATGATTAGAGAAGAATACAAATGCCTATGGTCCCATCTTTGACATTGTTGAGCTAAATAATGGGAGTATGATTATTCCTTCTATAATATTCATCATGTAAATTATTGGGATGATCCTACACATATTGGGGATGAATAATATGATGTATGAAGTTGACTTGGCCTACATAAATTATAATGAGTACAAAAAGACATCTCATGACAAAGATAAAACAATAGGGTCCATCTTTTCATTTTAGGAGTATTGGTAGGCATTTTGGACCCCAAATTGAATGGGATCATTTGGGAACCATCCCACATGACCTTGGTAACTGAAAGACAAAGAAAAATGGGTGAGACAACTATGTGGGGCGGACATTTTGACTTAAGAGCTACAACATTACAAAAGAGGTCCACACCATGTTTGATTGCAATCAAACACCCTACCCTTTCTTTTTGTGAACCACATGCTTAGATATCATTTTGAGAGCTCCTAAACACCTCCCCCTAACCCCCCATTCGAACTGAAAGAGATAAGAAAAAAGGGAGAGCCTCACACTCAAAAGAGAGAGAGAGATAAGGGAGCTGGCCGCAGGGATAATCTCCTGTTCGTGGAGCTCACTGTTTGGTTCGTATCTTGAGAAATACTCATCCAAAAAGGGCGTGTGAGGTTTCCACTGAAATCTCTCAAGAAGAGGAATCCATAGACGTGCGGTTTGAAGAAAACGGAGAAGTTTAAGTCCTCCAAATTGTCCGAACAAAACACAACCTCGCAGAATACGTTTTTGTATTCAAAGTAAGTTTGAATCCAAAACCTTCCTCTCTATTGTCTAAATCATATAAATGATTGAAGAACTATTATACAATGGTTGAAGTGTATAAAATGTTATTATAAAGAGACTTTAATTGTTGGAAAGGTTAGATACTAACCTAGACAAAACCTTGAAAGGTTAGGGAACGAATTCGCTGGAAAACACCTTTTCTAGGGACTGTTTTCGTGTCTTCGGTTAGGAGTTGAGATAGCACCTTGAGGAGGCTGTCTAACACTCATTCATAAACAAGGAATCAATTCTCAAACTCCCTTGGACAAAGCTTGAGCATTTGGGTTGAGAAGGAATAATTTAAAGCTCACTTAAGGTGAGGATGACTATATTGCTTATAATCTTTGGGTTAATTTCATGAGATTTCCTAAATGAATACAAAGTGTGATTTGCGTGGATTATTAATGTAACACTTGAGATTTAATATAAACGGATTAATAGTACTACTCATACCAACAGAGGTGCGTCTCCTTTTAAGGGAGCTCATCACCCAAGAACTCCAAAGTTAAGCGTGCTTGCACGGGAGTAGTCTTGGGATGGGTGACCCCCTGGGAAGTTTCTCAGGGCGCGCATGAGTGAGGACAAAGTGCGCGGTAAAGGCTCGTGGTGGTTTGTGGGGACAGTACTATTGGTCCGGAGTAACTACCTCGGGTCCGGTGGGACCGGGGTGTTACAGGTGGTATCAGAGCAACCCCGCTGATACGTTTGTAATTTCCGTGTGTTTATTTACGTTTTTAGTTAGTTTTGGTTGTTTAATATTTCGGAAATTACACACTTTCGGTGTAATAGTTTAGTTTGTTAAATTCTTGTAATTTATTTAGATTAGGTTTATTCTGAGCTTAAACAGGTCCAAGATCAATCAAATGATCAAAGGTGAAGGAAGGTGCAAGAGTAGAAGACAAAAAGAAGGAAAAACTCCTGA